TATGAAAATTTTAAAAATATTTTAAAATTTGTGAAAAATGTTTCAATCTTTGTGTCTCATGTGTTTTTTTTTTTTTTTTTTCCTTCCAATTTTTGTACTTTTTTGTACAAGAGACGCTTATTAGTTAGAATTTTTTTTTAACTTTTTATTTTTTTGGTCAATGAGACTTTTATTAAAGAATCAGCTCTATAAGATGTTATGATGAAGACAATGTTGAAATAGTTATAATCTCAATACAAATTTTACACATTTTATATATTTTATATACCTTTTAAACATACATTAAAATATTAGACAATCATTAACATTATCCATATTAAAACACTCTTTCTCTATCTTATGCCAAATTTGGGTAAGTAATCGCATTCTTGTAATTTCAAACCTATAATTGTGATGCATATTTAGTAGTACTATATAGGGGTGCCTCTATTTACACACCAGATTACATCTCAAGATACACCACTACTCAAAGCACACCTTTAGTAATTTGATAAATAAGAAATTTACACAATACACACCACAATCTTCCATCTTTACCCTTACTACCCACCCACAATCTTCCATCTTTACCATTTCTCACTCACACACCCCATCCACTATCTTCAATCTTCCATTTCTTTAAAAAAATTTATTACATCTTTATCCTGCTAGTCAATTACATTTTTAACATTCACACAAATTTCTCAATCCATACAACCCACCCCCACCAGCCCTAACCCTAACCATAACTGCCGCCACCCGCTCGCTACCCGTCGCTGTCGCTGTCGTAGCCATTACTAGCTTTGGCCGCACCTCCTCTATCATTCCTAGCTCCGACGACCCACCCCCGTGCCATCCCCATCTCTCTCATTCCAACTTTAATCCTGAACCCTAACATCTCCTCACTGCCGCAATTGCTAAGCCAACGTTGGCCCTCCGAATTCTCTTTAGTCGACACCTCTTCTCTACAAATTCCCGTTATACTACTATTCCCTCTCCCATTGCAGCTCCTTTCTCCTCATATTTCCACTCATAGCCCCTTCTTCTTCTTCAAACCCTAGATCTGGAAACCCAAATCTCTCTCTCTCTCTCTCTCTCTCTCTCTTGCAACTACAGATCGAATGATGGAGTGGAGGAGCTGAGTCGCGCTGTAGAGGGGATCTAGATGATGGGTAGCGGCAGAGGGTGGCCAACGAGGCTAGAGAAGGGTGACGAGGGTGAGGGAGATACGAGTTGCAATGTCAGCAATGAAAGAAATGACAACATGAGTTGGTATCGTGGAAGAGGCATAAATGGATTGAGGATGGAAACAGAAAAAGAGATGGTGTCGATTGGAGAGTAACAGTAGCAGAAAGAGATAGGATGGTTGACGGCAACGATTGGCGGTGGCGGCGGCGGCGGGGTAGAGTTAAGGGTTAGGGTTAGGGTTAGGGTCATGGTTATGGTTATGGTTATGGTTAGGGAAGATGAGGATATTTTGGGAATATTTGAAAATTGATAGTGTGCATTGAGTGAAAAATAAAAAATCAAAATTAGGTGTGGTGTGCAATGAGTAATTGGTGTGTATTACATAAGGTGTGTATTATAGTCTTTTATCCTTTGTGGTCATTTTACATTAGATTAATATTGTAATAAAAAATAAACTAATTAAATATGTGCCTTGAGATAAAAGGTAGTGTGTAAATAAAGGCACCCACTCTATTTATTTATTAGCTTTAGAAATAGACTAACCTTTCCTTGTATGATGATTACTTATCAATCAAATTTCTCAACTATATTTTTCCTACTTACTTTGTTTTCAAGGTTTGATTTAATTGATGACAAAGTTGGGATGTCCTTGTTTCTTTCTATTTCTATTCATATATTGCTTTTTGTTTGGGTAAACATTGCCCACTTGGAAGCACATTATGGTGTGTAGTCATTTGACTCATTATGAATGTGTCAAAGCTCTATTTCTTTCACTACATAAATTAGGCGAAGAAAAGATCTAATAGTACATAAACAAATTACAGAATCAAATTACGATTGTGATTGGTTATTGTGTAATTAGAAAAATTATTAGGCAAATCTAAGCAATTTTAAGAAGGAACAAAGATATCTTTCACTAGTCATATTTTGATGTTTAGCACTGAAGATGGCACTGCATGTAAAAATTATTGGTAATGTTGTACATCACATCTCAATCGTTGATTAGTGTAAACCCTAGATAAGATCGACACCAATCAAAGGTTGGGATAGCGAGTGTGGCATGAAAATACACAACAACCAATAATTTCTCCATTATGAAATGGTGAGGTCCCAAATTTCAATGTACACATGAAACTAAGGAGGAAGCGGAGGAGGAGGAGATAACGATGATTAGATTATAATTGAGATGTAAATCAATGGATTATAATTGAGATGTGTTTTTTTTTTTAACCAATAATTGAGATGTGTTCGGCGAAGTGAAAATGGTACAAAAGTGATAAAATTTTCACTGGAATTTTGGAGTTGATTTGAAAACAATTTATTTTAATAAATTTTTAACTTTTTGGTTAAAATATCAATTGAAAAAATAGTATGTTTTGAATATTTTTGGACTTCTTACCCAAAAATGTATATATATAAAAAAAATAGAGAATAAAATAAATCAAATTTTTGGTATAATTCTTTAATTTTTTAATTTTTTGTAGTAACTTTTAACTTTTTAATTATTTTTTCCAAACCAATCCTTAATGTACCAAAAAAACACATAAAAGAGAGAAAAGGTGAGACCCAGAGAATAGTACATTTTGTCTGTGCATAAATTCCACGCACATGCTTGCCAAGTTGCAAAAATAATAAATAAAAAAAGAAAAAATCTCAAATCAGTGGAAGTTTTAAAAAATAAGTACAAATACATGATAAATTTTATAAATGTTAATAATTAAATATTTTTCATGAATATGTAATAATTTTATAAAATCAAACCAATCCTTAATGTACCAAAAAAACACATAAAAGAGAGAAAAGGTGAGACCCAGAGAATAGTACATTTTGTCTGTGCATAAATTCCACGCACATGCTTGCCAAGTTGCAAAAATAATAAATAAAAAAAGAAAAAATCTCAAATCAGTGGAAGTTCTAAAAAATAAGTACAAATACATGATAAATTTTATATATGTTAATAATTAAATATTTTTCATGAATATGTAATAATTTTATAAAATTATCAATGAATATTAATTTTTCCTTTAAAAAAAATTGTGCAATTAGGATTTTCTTTTTTTTTTAATATATTTTTTTTCAAGCTATTTTCTTCTCAAGGTATGTTGGGCAAAGCCCACTTTCCAGAAAAAGTATTCAGTGCCTGGCACCAACACAAAATCGTGAGGTTTGTTATCTTCACCCATCACAATTTTCATGGACTCGTCCAGCTTTTAAGGTTGTGTGTTTTTTTTTCTTAAACTATTTTAAAGTTGTATTTGGTTCAGAAATTTAATAAGAGATTTGGTAAGGAATTTGTGAAGAGGAAGAAAAAATAAATAAATGAAATATAATTACATTTTACATATCTTTTTATACATATTTTTTTTCTCTCTTTTTAAATTTCTAATTAAATTCATAAACCAAATACATCCTAAGGGCATTAGGCCAGAAGGAAGGGGCCCACTCACGAGGGCCTATGAGTCCCCTTACAGTGGGGCAGTAGGCCTAGTGTTGTCTTCACAAGGGCTCCCTATGCACAGTGCATTTCTTTATCCTTCTGAACTAAATAAAACCAATGATTGACTTGGCCCATCTCTTTAACTGGTAAGAAGAATCAACTCCCCACCCTAAACTCTGCTTAACTTCAACTGAGCAAATTCAAATTCAGCAAAGCTCAAAATTGATAATAAAAAATACAGGCTAAAATCACATCTCTATGCTTCTTAATAATCATTTTTTTCAGAAGTTGTAACCATTACTTAAAGTTCATTTTCAAAAGCAGCTCTCCCATATATACTTTGTCGTTATCCTTCTTCTACCTCATCAGTTGTAAGCATTATATAAGTTGTATCAAACATTTTGACATATTAAATAATAATAGTAAAATAACAACAGCGACAACGGCTGCAATCAACTCCATAAGTTGTAGTTTGCAAATTATATATAGATATGTTTAGGAGGCAAGCATATGTTGCTTTGTAAGGGTGAGGAGGAAACTAATTTCTGTAAGTGTTAATCTAACAATTAACAACTGACTTTCGCCGAGAAAAAATATATATATACAAATATGTTTATGTATAATTTCACGGTAACTGCTTACAAAAAATGAAAATAACTTTTTTTGAAAAAAAATAAAAAAAATAAAAAAAAAGGAAGCAAAAAGCAAAAGAAGTAGAGATGAGAATTTTCCACTCAACATTTTGTCAAACTTGGACAATAGAAAATATGTATGGCCAATAATTATGAGGAAAATAAGAGACTATTGACAAAATCTTGAGGAAAATAAGAGACAATTGACAAAAAAAATTTTGTAACACAATTTATCCATCTCGACATATCCATTTAAGCTGCATTCATTTTCTAAAGACATTTCTTTGTTGTACAAATTTTATCCTATACACCATAACAAGTTTTATAAGTCTTGCAAAACTTTCGACAACAATTATCTACCTTTACAATTATCCAACGTTTGACAACTTTTGCCTTTCAAATGCAATACAATTACACAAATACCCTCTCTTGTTTTACCTAAAGGTGACACAAACCCTATTCTTATTTCTCTTATCTTCTTGCTCTTACTCTCTTTCTTTGCTCCAATCACTAGCTTAAGCATCGGTGAGACTTTCTAGCCATAATCTGGCCAGGTAGTGCTAAGTGCTAACCATGTTCTTGAGAGTGTAGACTTGCAAGGTTCTTGGAAGGCTCCGAGAGATATTGAAGCCCCCATTCATTTTGTGCAGATTTCATAAGTTCATACCTAGGACTCATCCTGAGATTCCTGTGTTTCCTAGATAAACTTGAGAAATGAGAAAACCAAATCAAAATTTTCTTTTACCAAGAAGAAAGCCATGAAGTATTCAAGAGAACATATAGTCACATTTGAGTGAAAAACTACCAGTTTTACATATACAAATGTAGAATATGGCACAAATCACTTACAAACCACATTTCGAAAAACCAAGCCAAACCAATCAATCAAACATGAAATTCCACGATAAAGAAACAGTTTCGAGAGATCAGTGACATACCAACAATCCAGTATCGTCTCCTCATTCAGCTTCATCAATGCAAGGAAAAGTTGATAGGATTTTCTTTCAATAAGTTTGTCAGAAAGTTGTTTTTTTTTTCCATCTCCAAGATAGCACACCTTCGAGATCATTCGCAAGTCAAAACCAACAGTTTCTAACACAAAAATTTCTTATGCAGCTACTCTTGGAACTTTCATGCCAAATCCATGTTTTGCCTTCTGAACTCTGTTAAAAAATTTATAGTTAAATGATGATTGAAAAAAGGCATTAATTATGTTCAAAGAAAAGTATCAACATTTTCATTTTCTATAGCATCGAGATGCAGAATTTTCACATGTAAAATCTAGTCATAGAATGAGCTTATGTTAGGGAGATTTACAATTTTTTTTAGCCACCAAACATTTTAATGGCCTACAAATAGATTTTGTATTGCCAAGTTTTTTTTCCAGGCAATTAAGTACACTACTGCCCATCTGAAAAGAAAAAAAAAAAAAAAGTACACTACTGGCACTCCCTTACCAGGCATGATGTCTAAGTTCAAGCTTTACCATTATGTTATGCATACAGATTGTTTAGAAAAATAACCGATACATCAATTGTCCAACTTCCAGTCCATCATGGTTACAGATAATTCATGGACCTTAAAAGGACGGCAATCACTTGATTAATTGCTTGCATTCCATGAACCAAACCTTCTCATACCCTTCCTTTGCCATCCAAAACTGCTAAGATAAACTGAGAAGCCAGCTTTCAAATTCAAACCTAAAGCAGTGCTTCTTTTAGTCATAGTTTCACACTCACTTCAGCAGACCTGTAATCTATTCTAGTCCACCTCCTAATGTTCAATGCACTTCAATCCACATTTAACATCGTTCCTAGTATCTTACTCTATTTGCTAGTGACACCTAAAAAATTCCCAAGCCATGTCTTCCAAGTTAAGAAGCACGGACACGGACACGGACACGGACACACTAGCAAGGAAATTTTCAAAAAATATAGGACACGCCTCATAGGAGACACGTGAAAATATATAGTTATATAATTATTATATGTCATACATAAGGATAGACAATTATTATATGGCATGTATATGAATATTGAATTCAAAAATAATAACAAAGTTCAATGTAATACTAATTTAAAAGTCTAAAGGAGAAGAATATGTATAAATTTACATTTTTTTAATCATTAAATTCTAAGTTATTTTATTCAAACTTGTAATATGTTTCATGTACGTTTAAGCAATAGACACATGTTCCTCAAGTGTCTTAAGTGTGTCCAGTTTAGAAAATTTTAAAAAATAGTAGGACATGTGTCTGGTAAGCATTGAGAAGTGTCCGACGAGTGTCATGTTAGTATTTGACATATCACAACACCTCCTTAAAAATGTCAATGCTCCTTAGCTTCCAACAATTCTAGAGTTTTAAAGCTGTCCTGTAACCTCAAGTCACATGAATGGGTTACTAGCCATAATGGATAAGAAAAAATCTTTTTTTATTTTATTTTCCGTGCAATTGATAAAAACATTCCACTAATTAAAATAAACAAAACTTCAAAAAGTGAGGCTTACGTCGGGGCAAGTTTGCCAAGGCTATCCAACTCTTCGCCAGAGTCCTCGTCCAAGACTCGTCCAGATATCTCAATTATGTAGGACTTGTCTTTAGTAGTTGGGAGCCCTCGACTACTTAGCAGATTCAAATCTCTTGGATGAAGCTCTCTTCCATTCACAAAGACACCTGTATTTCCACCGGCACAATTCTCCGGCATGGGATAATTGAATTCCTCAATAAATGGCTGCAAGAAAAATGATAATTTCATTAATTTAGTTGGGAGTACAAGCAATCACCAAATATCGTTGGACTATTTTTGCATCAGAATTAGTTGATCTTACAAGAATTATGCCGAGACAAGGCCCACCCATCACACCCCAGAAACCAGCTCGGGAATCATACCTGATAAAGGCAATTATGAAAGGAAAAACCGTTAGTACATTCGGGAATGAGAAACAGATCAAACAGTTCTGTGGCAGCACGGTAGCAAGAAAGAGAAAATAATTGTAGAAAACAAATATAAAGGAAGAGTGGTGCTATTAATGCGCACCTTTCTTCTAAGAAACCCCGCTTCTTTCATATTTTTATTACAATTTTATCCTATTACAAAATTCCATTTTGGTCCCTATCCTTAACCTCCCAAAACCCTAACCCTCAACCACTACAACTCCGGCCAGTGCACTCCAGTGATTCTCAGCTCATTCCCGCCGCCATTCTCCACCGCCCACCACTCCCCAACCTCCCCCTGACCCTCATACACCACTGGCCACCCATCAGCCCATTCTCACCCACCACCACCATAGCCTAGCCCCATCTCCACTTGTGATTTCTCTCGATCAATCGATCGATCGCGATTGCTTCTCTCTCTTTCTCTCAATCAATCATAGATCGCAATCAAGATTTGCGACTTCTCTCTCTTTGTGGTTAGAGTTTCACATCGGGTGGGGGTTCAGCGGTGGCGTTATAGGGATGTGAAACAGTCGGCAATGGTTGCAAGAAGTGCTGCAAGAGTTGGGCTGCAAGAGTTAGGGGTGGCACCAAAGGTAGGCGATGGCTGAAGGGGCAGGAGAGGCCGATAATGGGGTTTTCGAAGGTGGAGGTGGCAAGGATTTCCGGAGAAGAGGGAGTGGTAGGTCTGTCGATGAAGTTGAGTAGTTTGTCGGAAGAGGGTGGGTTTCTGCCGGAGAAAGGGCTGGTGAAGGTTTGGGTTGCAAAGTAAGAGGTATATCTTGGGCATTATGGTGGGGATTCAAAATAAAAGAGGTGGGGAGTTATTTTAGTGGATGGAGGTTCAAAGAAGTGGGGGTTCAAAAGAAAAGAGTGGAGGCTATTAGCAGCACTCTAAAGGAAACATTCAAAATTTTATTTATGAAATTCATTTATAAGCCTGTTAATAGATGATCATATCTAAATTAGATGCAATTTTATGAATTGATTTAATTCAATAATCCAATAACAGCAACACAAAAAAAGAGCTCAACAGTTGTCACTTACCTTACTTCCCCTTAAACCAACTTTTTGTTAAAACAAAATGGTAAAAAGAATTTATGAATTGTTCCAAGTGGCCACTTCCACACACACACACACACACACACACCCTCTAATTAAGGTCTCTAAGATTGGAGATCTTGGTTCTAGTATCAATGTTTGTTTATAACTGACTGGATCTGTGAACACCAAAATTAAGCCTATTAACTGAATCTAACGTATTTGGATGGATATCAAATACAATAGAAACCATGATTTTGAATAACAGTATCGGGATACTTATCAATGCCAGAGATATAATCATATATTGACCGATAATATCAATATCAAAAGATAGGTTTAAAATTGGTATCAAAGGTCCAAAATCACGGTATGTATTGGTCAATATTCAAAACCCTTGTAGAAACCTCCAGCATTAAATTCACCAACACAATTATCATAATGAGGGGCATGTTTTTTATAACTAAATGTAAAGTTACACATTATTCTAATATGGAAGTGTGGAACCGATTACATTATATGGAAAGAACCAGAATTGATCTTCAAGAACTTGTAATAGCATAGATGCAACCCTTACCTCTCTGGCATTGGCATGCATGAATTTTTCTCACCCATATAGCACCACATAGCATAGATGAATATAGACAAAATCTAAACCACACGTATTCAGAAACAAAATTACTGGATATGGTGCAAGAGAGTACATGCACTTACCAGTATTGTCCGGGATGGACTGGTCCAGATAGCTTTTCAGCCTTTTTTAGTATGCGATCCGGTATAGGATGCCCATTAATTGTGACGTTAGTTGAGCTTTCCTCAATGGTTTGATTGGATCTTGAAAGGTCTTTGAAGCTTTTCTTCATAATACCTACAAAGAACGACTGACCCCTTTTGTTGAGTGCCGGTTGAATTTCATCTCTGCTCGCGTCCCCTGATTCTTGGGATGTCCCGGTATTTGAGAACTCATTGAATGACACCTCCATTTCAGTTGCCAAAGATGCATCTTTCAGAGAATTTTGCCGTGACGTATCCTTCTTTGGCTCCCCCTTTTCCTGCTCTGAACGTCCACTCTGATTTCCATTTCCTATTCGGTTCACTTTACGGTATATATTAGAGTAATCAAAATGATCTTGAAGGGGTGAACCAGCAGGTGGTGGAGATAGATTTGCTTTTGCTGGCAGCTCAGCAGATTTGGACTCCTCTCCTTGGGCATTCAAACCTTCGGGGCTATCCTCAACCTCAGGAGAATATGGAGATGACGAATGATGGCTTCTCATCTCTTCAGACTTGCTTGATCGGAAACCCTGGCCCGTTGATGACGAAATCACTTCTCTATCCAATGACTGAAAATCATAACCCGAATTATCATAATCTTCAGAAGAAAAATTCATGCTAGGCTGATTTTCGTGCACGTGAGAATGCAAAGTACCACCACTCACTGTCACATTAGGGCTATCATCAACCATCTGGGGTATTTTCTTTGTCTCGGAATGAACAGAAACAAGTTTCTTGTTGACAACTGCAAAAAGAATGACCGTAGAGCACGAACCACATCGCACTTTCTTTTGATTTTTCTCTGTAAGCAAAATTTTCTTAGGCAGTTGCAGCAATTCAAAACAATTGCAACACGTAACAAATGGAGAACCACCAGCTACAGGGCGACAACGCCTTCCACCAGTGGCTAGTACCACCCTCGGAGGAGGAGGAGGAGGGCGACGAACAAAACTACCCATTTCAGAGTTAAGGTCACTAGGCCATCTTGTGTGGGATTGAGGATTAGGGGGATTGGCAATTTTGGGATTATAATCCCGTGGACCAAATGCACTTGGGTTTTCATGATGGTAGAACATGGGATTTTTTGGGACATCAGAAAACATTTTGTTGTGGAAAGCAGTGGGTGGGACTGGACCCAGAACTTGTGGATGTTTGCTGTAGCAATGAAAGCAAGAGCATGAAGGATGGTGATGGTTCATATTTGGCGGGTACGATTCAAATGGATCCATATCACTATCTAGATAGTTTCCAGAAAAATAAGGATGAGGTGGCGGTTGTTGGAGAGCACCGAGCCCTTGGTGTGGAGCTCTTCTAAAAATTTGAGACCTTAAAGGATTCCCAAATCTTTGAACTTGATTTGAAGTATGCATTGAAGGATAAAAACTATGCCTATTCATATAAGGAGGCGGCTCAGGATAATGGCTAGCATAAGGTGGTCTTCCACTGTATGTGTCAACCATGGAATATTGGCTCGGATCCCTATTTGGTCCCCATGAGCCATAAGGTGCTTCATGGTGAACCGACCTCCAATCAAGAGGAACCTTTTCTTCAGCTTTGTCCTTAACATCACAAGACCGGCTAAGTTGATCTTTTAACTCCTCCAACTTCCTCAAAAGCTCGGCTCTGTCTTGTTCAAGATACTCAACCTTAGTTAACTCATCCAGATTGTTCTGCTTATTCACCGGTTCTCCATAACCGTAACTGGACCTTGCATGAAAATTCAAAGGACCATCTTCCGAATACTTTGAAGTCGAGTATCTAAGACCTTGAATATCCCTTCTAGGGTTCCTCCAAAACCCATCAAGCTCGCCTCCCTCCCCGCTCCTCCATCCAGAAAAACTCCCTGATCTTTGTGACCCATTTGCAATCCCATTTGGGGGTTTCAATTCATCGAATTCATTTACCATTTCTGCATGATCAGATTCATTTAAATTCTCATTTATTTGAAGATCATTATCAACAACAACCCAATTATCAGCATTGATGTATGAACCATTACTTTGGTTGTCAGCTATATTGCTCAAAACTTCCCTATTATCAGCTCTTCTAGAAGAACTGCTACCAGATTTAACATCATTCTCAAACCCATCACCCAACTTCATTCCTTTCCCGGAAAATTTGAAATTGTCTGATTTCTCGGGAAAATTTTCAGAAACACTTTGATGAACCCTTTCTTCATCGGACTTCTGCGACGAAGTATCCTCCTCAAAAATTCTATTTTTCGCTGAAAATTACAATTAAAAAAAAATACATATAAGATAAGACGAGAAGTACTAAAGAAAGAAAATCCGTGTTTGGTTACCGACAAAACAAAGGAAAAGAAAAGAAATTACAAAGTTGAATCTTCGAACATTTCATCATCGACAACCCAATAAGCAAGTCAACATAACAAAAAAACGAAGTCAAACATAAAACACAAGAAACAAAGCATGATATGTATGTGGGTATTGTTATAATTTCTACTGTCTATACCTTTCCAGAGTTTTCTCATGAACCAAACGGAAAATAAGAGAGAGAAAATGAATTGTAATACCTCGAAGAACAGCACCGCAACCACCGCACTGATAGACAGAGTAATCCGTGAGCTCTGGAAGAACATTTTCGCATCTAGGGCAAACAACCAATCGAACTGTTGGTTGTTCAGACATTGTTAGTGGCTAAGAAGCTCTGAACAAGTCCAAATACTAGAGAAATTTCATATCACAATACAATACAACACACATCAATCATAATATAAATACATGTGTGTGCAAGAAATTGAAATGGAAAGAGGGGTTTTGTGGGAGTGAAATTATCTGAAGGAATGGAAGAGAATGGTGAAGAAAATCCACCAAGAAATCTATGGGTGAAGCTTGACACAGAGAGCTCGTGAAGAAGAGACAGAGAAGACTCTCTGATGTGGGATTTGTTGGGTTAGAGAGAGAGAGTTCCTAGAAAATCTGAAGTTTCTGAAGCACACAAAATCTTTTCCCCGTTGCAGACGAAGAAAAGCAAAAGAGAACAGAAAGAAAGGAAAAGAGAGAGAAGGGAACTGGTTTCTTTTTGCCTTTTGCCTTTTAAGAGAGAGGGGAGAGAGAATATAATCACCGAAAATAGAATCTTAACATTGCTCTTAAATAAAAACATTTTCTTGTATTTGAATAAAACAATTTTACTTGTCAGGTTAATTTATTGAGAAAAAATGGGTGTGCACCATATTTATTTTATAATTAAAAATATATATACATATATATAATTCTATATTTTTTATGTTATAATTAAAAAAAAAATCTTAACTAAATATTATATGAGACCTAACTAAGACTTATTTTGAAAAATTGATTAAAAAATTATTTTTTAAACTTTTTTTACTCTTTCTAAAAAAATGTGTATTAGGTTTTATTCTTGACAATCTCGTTTGACAAAACTTCCTTCAGTTGTATTTGCTTTCGCACCTTTTATTTCAGTAAGACTATGAGTATTTAGATACAAATCCAACCCGAATCGTACCTTTGTCAATTTCTATGGATCAAAACCAAGGTTGTAACAGGATCTAGTTTTCCAGATTTTCTAATTTTGGTCGTCCCGCTCGAGCGGGACAAGTGACGCTCGAGCGAGGATTGCAAGCTCACAGCATCTCTACTTCGCCTGAAAAAGTACTGGATGGTGTGATTCGACGCTCAAGCGTGGAAACTTTCGCTCGAGCGCGAAGCCTATATGAGCGTGAAGCCTATATGAATCACACAATTTTGAAGCCTCCGCTCGAGCGGACCGCGCGAACACAGATTCTTGGATTTCTATAAAGAATTGGTTTTCTTTAAATCCAGGATTACTTTGGATTTCTATAAGGAATTGGTTTTCTTCCAAAACTAGGATTACTTTGGTTTTCTATAAGTAGTTGGGTTTCTCCCAAAACTTGGACAACTCCTCCAGATCTTCTTTTTAGATTCTAAGGTTTATATCTGAGGATATTTTGCTAGTTTTCTTTGATATTTTGATTGAGTATTCAACTCATGGTTTAAAGAGTATACATCAAAGGATTATTTGTTTGTTCTATACAAAAGAGAGATTTATTCTTCGGTGGATTCTGAAGAATTCGAGCCTGAAGTTTTGGTGGATTCCGGAGTGGCTCATCGTCAAGACAATTCCGAGGTGAAGACGGGGTTGGAAGAGGCACATAGAGGTTGGTTCAATTCGGACGTGGATTCGCTAGGTAATTGAGAGTATACCTGTGTAATTCCTTTATATCTTCTTAGTGGATTGTTTTGTGACTGTTGCCCGTGACTTTTTTTATCACAATTGGAGGTGTCCAATTGTGATTTTTCCACGTAAAATCGTTGTGTCATTTTGTCTTGATTGTTTGATTGGGATTGTTATATTCTGCTTAAAATTGATACATAATCACAAATCAACATCTAAGGGATTTCTAGATTTATCAATTGGAATCAGAGCAGGTCGTTCTATTTTTTAAAAAAAATATATATCTTTTAGAACGAGATCTTATTTGATTTGTGATAATGGATTCAATTCGTGAGGGAAATTCTATGGTTCGACCACCCCTACTTGATGGATCCAATTATTCTTTTTTGGAAAGCTCGGATGAGATCGTTTTTGAAATCTATAGATGAAAAAGTTTGGCAATCTGTCATGAATTGGTGGACCGAACCAACAATTACCATTGATGGAGTAACTTTCCCCAAACCAATTGAAAAGTGGGACACAATTGATTACCAAAATAGTAGCTGGAATAGTAAAGCTATCAATTCTCTCTTTTGCGCTGTCACACCTGAAGAGTTTAGTCGAATTTACAATTATGAAGTCGCAAAAGAGGCTTGGGATATCTTACAAACTATTCATGAGGGTACTCCTTATGTTAAATGCTCAAAACTTCAAAGGCTCGCGTCTAGTTTCGAAAACCTTTCAATGAAAGATAGTGAGACCTTTGATGAATTTTATGCGAAGTTGAGTGACATTGTAAATTCCAGCTTCAATTTAGGTGAAAAAATACCAGAATCCAAAATTGTGGGAAAAATTTTGAGATCATTGCCCGATCGGTTACAACCAAAAGTTACGGCTATTGAGGAGGCTCAAGATGTTGACAACCTCAAGCTGGACCAGTTGGTTGGAAATCTCCAAACTTATGAGGCACATAGGAATTTCAAAAAGAAACAAAAAGATATTACTTTTAGTAGTGCTCATAGAGTTTGAGAGGATTCAGATGAAGATTGTGAGATAGATTCCAAGATTACGGCTGCTTTTGTTAAACAATTTAAAAAATCCTTTTTGAAAAAGAATCCTAATCTTTTAGAATCTACTCATACTCATAAATCTAAAGGCAAAGATAAACTAAAACTTAATTCTATAGCCAAGAAGGAGAAAGGAAAGATACAAGGGAACTCTGAAAGACTCCAATGCTTTGAATGCCAAGAATTTGGCCACTTTGCTTAAGAATGCCCCACTCGGTTGAGGAAGAAGAATGCCCTTGCTATCACTTGGGATGATGAATCAGAATCTGATGAAGATGAAAGTGACAATGAAGATCAATGTGAAAAGGGACATAAACAATTCCTTACTTTCATGGTGGCTTCTGAAACTGAAGGACGAACAGAGTATCCGAAGAGCCCGATTGAGAATACCACTGATGATGAAGAGCTTGAGCAAGCTTATAAAAAGTTGTATAAAGAATCTCTTAAGTTATCCAAATTGAATGATAAACTCACTATGAAACTCACAGCATGTGAAAGTGAGAATGTCAAACTAAATGAGGAGATTTTCGAGGCTATGATTGATGCCATCAAGATAGCTAATGATCGACAAGCTCTTTGTGCAAAACTCTTGACTTGTGAGACAGAGAGGAATGAGCTACAACAAATCTATGCAACATATGAAGAAAAAATTAAAACTCTCGAGATGTCTCAAGTTGCTTTGGAAGAACTAATGATCAAGAAAGAGGAAGAACTCAAGTTTGCTATGGCTACCATTGGTCTTTGGAACAAATGATCAAAGACTTTGGACAATATCATTGGGTCTCGACAAATTTGTTATGACAATAATGACATTGGGTTTGGTGGTAAGAAAGAGCAAAAACAGAGTGCTTCCACATATCATGATACAAGAACTCAAGGAAAGGGAGAACAAAAATTTCAACATAAGGATGGACTTCTCAAACTTCCTAGAGTTGGTAAGGTAAAAGAAAAGAAGGTACACCCTGTTTTTATGTATGGTCATATTCGCCCTTATTGTTATAAGTTGCATGGGAGAGTGTATTTGCCTAGACCTAAAAATTGGAAGTTGGAAGCCAAGTCGAGACGGGTTCCTATTGTAAGGGAAAAAAACCACAACGTTAAGACACTACCCAAGAACCGCAATTCTCACAATTTTATTCGTACTAAAGCGATTTGGGTGAGAAAACTTAACTTGTGTTAATTTGTTTATTCTTTTTAGTTTTTGGGTTTCTGTTGCTTTTTTTTTTTTTGTCATTAAATGTGTGCTTGTTCATTTTTTTTGTCTTGCTTTATTTTTTGGAAAAAAAAAATCTCAAAAAGATTTTCTTAGTATGGTTTTGCAAGCTTGAAATTTTTGAGTGGTCCTTGGTGCATATTGGAATTGATGAGAATATCCATTACATGTTAATATATGTGTGCTTTTTGCGGTCATTACTCGTTTTAGAGTGTATGTTTTTTGATTAGTATGTCTTATTCTGTACACACTCTTGGATTAGCAAATTTTGGAGTCTTCCGCCTTAGTGATATTTTTTCTATGGACTTCTGTCATTGATCTTTTGTGTTTCTAGAGGAATTGACCTATACTAGCATATATGGGTGATGTTGAGTCTCTTAACCATCTATCATCTTTTTGCATCTGCATGGCTTTCCCCTCTATTCTTTGTAGTCCAGCCATGAGGAAAAGGCTACCTCAGAGTCACTAATCAGGCCATCCTTATTATATCCATGCTCCTCTAGTTCGGTTTCCATACTCTTGAGTGTGTCAGCCGCCAACGACTGTGCAAAAGAAAAAGAAAAAAAAAAGAAAAGGAAAGAAAAGAAGAAAAAATATGCAAAAGAAAGAAAAAAATGTGCACAAGAAAGAAAAGAAAAAAAAAATGTGCAAAAGAAAGAAAAGAAAAAAATTTGTGAAAAAAAAAAAAGATTCATTGATTGAGGGGGAGCCTCCGCCTTTACTCACCAAATACCCCTTGATGCCTAATGGTTTGAACTAACCAGGCCATCCTTATTATATCCATGCTCCTCTAGTTCGGTTTCCATACTCTTGAGTGTGTCAGCCGCCAATGATTGTGCAAAAGAAAAAGAAAAAGAAAAAGAAAAGGAAAGAAAAGAAGAAAAATATGCAAAAGAAAGAAAAAAATGTGCACAAGAAAGAAAAGAAAAAAAAAATGTGCAAAAGAAAGAAAAGAAAAAAATTTGTGAAAAAAAAAAAAGATTCATTGATTGAGGGGAGCCTCTACCTTTACTCACCAAATACCCCTTGATTCCTAGTGGTTTGATTTTACTTTGTCGTGCTTAGATTCTCTTGTCGAAGGTCAGCTTTCATATCACTACTAGGATTGAATCTAGTGTTTGTCGAACTTCAAGAGTCATATACACACTTTTCTTATGGGGTCTATGCTTTTCACATAATGTATCACTTTCTTTCATGAAGAATATTCTACAGACTGTGCACATTGTGTTTACTAGTAATTGTGCTTCTTGGATAATCTTGTGTGTTTTAAGGTATAAATCTGAGATTTCTTGCTTACTCCACCATATTATTTTTGTCGTTTTCTTCTTGTTCACTGTTTTCAGTGTTTGTGGTTGCTTTTAGTCAGGGGGAGTTTGGTTCTTCTTGATTTGGGTTGGTAAGGGAGTTTGGTTTTTCATTGCAAGAGTTTGTTAGCATGAACACTTTGATTTGTTTGGTAAGGGAGATTGGCTATATGTTTTTGCATGTTGCTATGCACTGTTTGCTAATTATTTCTGTAGAGACCCTAAATTTTTTTATTACACTTGAAAACCCTAAGCCTTAGGTTAATAGCATTTTAACCCTAGTTCTGTAAAAATCTGTGTAAGGGCCCAAGTAAAGAATAATTTCTCCGTGTGTTACCATAATTAA